AAATGAAATTCAACAGTGGTATACCAGTGTTGGGGAGCGAGGTCTACCCCAAGGGATAAAATCACTTATTTCAAACCCGATGCTGCAGCTATTTACTTCCAATTTTTGGACTGTGCTTTCTTCAATCTCATATTTGGCGCTTCTGTTTAATGTGTAAGGCACAGAAAAGTTGGATATAAATTTAGATTTTCAATGCCGTCGCCAGCTTTGCGTCAAACAATTGCTTTTGTTTCATAGTTCAATCATGCGCCCTAAATAATTGTCAATGAATTGAGAATTCATACTCGCCAACGTATTGCGATGTGTGTACATGCTCCAGTCTTCACTTCCCCCTTTCAATCCCATCCTTAGACGTCAAATCGCTGGCACCTTGAGCGTCGGAATCTACGACTGCCTTAATCAAGCCACCGCTTAAATCTATCTACTGTCTAGGAGGCAAAACGTCACTTCAAGCGCCGTAAAAAGAACCTCGTTAGTTCGAGCCAAGAAAAATAATTCCTTAAACACTAATCTGTCCCACTTAAACTAGGCAAATAAAACGAACCACTCACAGAGGACAGAGTCTTTAGAGACTCATAAAGCGGGCATTCGCCATTGCTTTAAAGAGCATGCTTAGCTCGAAACTGCATCCTAGTCGACACATGAACCAGTTGATACTCATTTTGAAATCGCCAACAGAGTCATCTCCCCCTTGACAAAAAAGGAAAAGCAACAATCCATTCCGCCACGCAATCTGCACTCGCTCTCCACATTCCCACTTCCGCAGGGCTGAATCCCTTACCTCCCACACAAAGGAGCAGTACCCTACCCCTCCAGCTCAATAGCCTCATTCATCCATCCACCCGCACCGCCCCTCTCACAGTTTAAAAAAAGCAAAAGGCAGAATGAGATGCAATCAAGAATGCTTGTGGAAGAGACAGTTCGCAACAGGCTGTGGGACGCGCTAATTCACTTATCAGACAGGATCGGGTAGACTACGGTGGCGCACAACAGACAGGTGCCAGCGCCGATAGTGGCATCGGAGCACACTGCTCACATCATTTACTTGGAGCCAGTGTATTTGGTTACAGCCTTGGTGCCTTCCGAAACCGCGTGCTTGGCCAACTCACCAGGCAGCAGCAGACGAACAGCAGTTTGAATTTCTCTGCTAGTGATAGTCGACTTTTTGTTATAATGTGCCAACCGACTCGATTCAGCAGCGATCCGCTCAAATATATCATTCACAAACGAGTTCATAATTGACATTGCCTTCGACGAAATGCCCGTGTCCGGATGCACTTGACGCAACACCTTGTAGATGTAAATAGCATAACTTTCTTTCCTACGCCTTTTCTTTGCCTTATCCGTCTTCGGTACCTTTACCTTTGAAGCCTTCTTCGCCGCCTTCCCTGAAACCACCTTGGGAGCCATAGGAGCCTCAGTATACCAGTGAAATACACCACAATTTCTTCACATACTCTCCACCACTGTAATTTATACACAATCTTCAGCGAAATAACGCTGACAAAATTAGCTTTGAATGCGTTTACACATGTAGTCGCCAATCACAATCGCGATAAAAGCATAGGGCGTATTCTTATTGGTTGAAGCTAAATGAACAAGAATATGGCGACAGAGACATCGTGCCTAAGTGTGCAATATTGCTTGCTTAAGATCAGCCAATCAAATCTTAGCTCTAGAAGACTCAAACAAAAATAATTAACAAGTTATTTTTTAATTAAAAGACCAAAAGTATCTTGCTTGTTAAACAAAATTAAAAAATCATTGTAGACAGAAAGTTATTTATAGAGACGATGTTTCTAAAACCTAATCTAATGTCAATAGGTAGCTCGATGTTTTCATCTCATGCTTTCTGCCAAAGGTAAATTTCGCAGGCAAATTAGTCTTACATACGGCAGTTAATTTGTATACAAGAGTAAAAGGCCAAACATGTTTAACAGCAATATTTCCAGTGGTA